ACACACACACACACACACACACACACACACACACACACACACACACACACACACACACACACACACACACATTTATCAGTGGCAAGCCGCCACAAATGAATTTTGGCCGCCACGAATCAATGTTCCCTCTATAAACAGTACACGTGAGCAATTGCGCACTTCACTCACCCTGTCAGTACACACGGTGACGCTGGCACGCACGCACATTACATTTCCACGCAGTTGAATTTACAAAACAGGACACCTTGGATAACATTTTTGGCAAATTTGTGCAACTTTACCTTCATCTGCTGGTTTGGTGTGAGATAGTCTGAGTACATCTTTGTGTGACCATCCCTCTCTCTGTTTACATCTGGTCACAACTGCCGCTAGACTCAGGGCATCCTGCCCGTTGTACCAGTCGGACACGGCTTTCCTCAGAGCGCGTCCCCAAATTCCACACTTCATGTCCTCTTTTAACTCTTTCTTATATTGGATAAAAGAAAATAGATGGGCAGGATCCTGACAAATGTCCTTCACAGCTTTAAACGCTGCCCGTTTGGTCGTCACCTCAGCGTGCTGGGAGCACAGCGCCAATGCAAATATGGAAGGGTCAAGTCTGACAGCTCGTCCATCTTGAGCAAACCTTTTAATTTCGTTGACCGCCTCGATACCTCGGCCCTCCTGAAGCATAGAAAGCAGGGCTCCTGCTTGCGCCATGCCCAGGTGAGCCTCCTCTGAGGCGGTGTATACGTCTCCCTCCGAGCCGTAGCACAGAAAGCGACGCAGTCTGACGTTGTCACTGACCTCCCAGTGACAATGTTCACCTGCTGCGTTCGACGTATGGTTGCTTGGACAAGATTGAGCGCAGGCCGATGGTTCCATAGTCACAGTGGGGCCAACCTTGAAAAAGTGAGATGAAGTAAATCAGTGTACAGACGTTTCCCTGTGCAGTGGTCAATTTAAGCCGAGGATGTACCACAAGATGGGGTGTCCATTATGGTGACCGAAAAATCCAACAATCTCACCGGCTCATACACAAAGTATGTTCAGAGTACACAACAACATATAGTTTGACATTATCAACGAGTTCCTATCGCTAAACAACATTGTAAAGCGCCACCTTTATTATCTTATTGAACCACAAACATTTACCTGGTATTGTCATGGAAAAAGTAGATTGCCGTGGATTCTGGAGCTATATTTCTCTATTTGTGGCGCGTGAGTGTGAATGACTGGCTAAATACAATCAATATGTGCCCTTGACTTGCTGGCTACCAGGGCCTTCAGAATGAGTCTTGCTGACTCATCAAATAAAATGCGGTATGCAGCTGAGTGCAGTTATATTGCAGGTTTTGTTTAGTATTAATGACTTGTATAATTGCAACAAAATAGTGGTAGTATTAAGAGGTGCATTAAGCCGGCAAATCTCCACTAATGCTCAAAGCGCAGCCTGCCACTGCATAGATGTGAGTGTGAAGGATCGTGTAGCCCTCCTCTCGCCTGAAATGAGCTGGCTCATCTCATCTAGGAAGCTAAAGAATGCACACAATACAAAAAATGGATGGACAGGGTTAATACCAGTTTAAATTTACATTTTAAATCGAATCAAATAGGCATATAATTTGATTTTCTTAACATGAAACAGACATTACATCATAAGGATAAATCTGGGGGGACCTCAGAATGAGACGGGCCAGTGGGGGATCCTGCAAAACTTGCTTGGTTGAATCTGCCACCACCCAACTTCCAACATCAACATCAACAGTTGGAGTCCACGCATTGACAAAAATAGATTAAAGCCGATTAGCAGACCAATGACACACCAAAATAGATGCAACCGCAGCACAAAGTGAAGCCAACCTGCTATTTGTTCATTATTACACTATGCTGTTGCTGTTGTTGTTTTTAAGCTTGGGTTTGGTAACCAGGTTACCATAGCAGCGGTTTGAGTTATTCGGGCAAAGTTAACTTCGCTATCTGCCACGGTAAACCTACCTGGAACCCACCATAGGTCGAATATGATAGCGTCAGTCAAATGGTAACAGTGATCAAGTGAAAGAATTGAAATTCCGAGGTCCGAACTTTCCTTAACTGGCCGCCCCGCTGATCTGGAAGCTAAGCTAGCTCGATTGGAGTTCTGATGACTTTGCTAACCCATCTACGAGTCACACGCGTGAAAACATGACATTTTAAAATGGCATGGCACAAATCACAAGCTTACCGCAATATATCGGCACTGGTTTGAACTTATTTATCAGGGGCGTCCCTCTTGTTTCTCTGGGGGAGAGATGACAAACTGGAGGATGGCCCGCAATGGACGACGGGAAATGGAGTTCAACCTGAGGTCGATAAACTTCTTGTGTTGTTTATTTTGAGGTTGGCAAATTAACGATTGGTCAAACAAAGCCATCCACCGGACTAGAATGTGGAACGGTAAAGCTTCCGAAAATAGGAATAAACAGGTCACACTTTGTGCATAATTTTCCTGATCATAAAATACTGTACATTCATGTGTATCTCAAATTGACAATCTTAAGAGAAAATAAGAGCAATATAATGAGATTTGTATACAATATGAGTACAGTGGTCGACTCAGCACGTCGACCTCAAAGTGCAGAGGTGCAGTGTTCGATTCCACTCTGGCCTTCCTGTGTGGAGTTTGCATGTTCTTCCCGTGCCCGTGTGGCTTTTCTCCGGGTATTGCGGTTTCCTACCACATTCCAAAAACATGCATGGCAGGTTAAATGAACACTCCAAATTGTGATTGTGAGCACGAATGGTTGTTCATTTATGTGTGCCCTGGGATTGGCTGTCAATCAGTTCAGGGTGTACCCCGCCTAATGTCCAACGACGGCTGGGATGGGCTCCAGCATGCCCGCGACCCTTGTGTGCGGATTAGAAAATGGATGGATGTGAGTAGGTGTGGGGGTGTGTTTGTGTGGGTGTGTTTGTGTGTGTGTGGGTGGGTGTATAAAAATAGATATTAGGTTGAAGATCACAAGAAACAAAATTGAAAGGATATTTTAGATTGTGTATTTTAGATCACACAAAACAAGAGTTGTACAGTATATTAAGGTCAAAGTTTGGTTATTGACAGTATCTCCACGTTTCTGAAAGGCACAAATTTGGTAACTCCTAATGCACATCAAACGAACTGTCAACGGTTCTTGTGGAACAAAATCCTTGTTATCAGTGTTTTTTATTGAAGATTCAAATTGTTCTTTTGTTGTGAATGGTTGTTTTGCCTATGTGTGCCCTGTGAGTAATTGGCAACCAGTTCAGGTTGTACACAGCCAAGTCAGCCGGGATAGACCTGCAACCCAAATGAGGCTAAACAGTGTAGAAAATAGATGAATGGATGGCGTGCAATGATTATGTCGCTTTCATACAAACTTATTTAAGTAGTGTGATACGTCAGTTCCATGGAAAGCTCTGTCCCATTGCATTAAAACACGTAGCGCTCCATTGCTTCGCATACAATGCTGCCTTTTTATAAGGCTGATTAGCATAGATTCATCCTTGATGCTTCAAGAGCTCTTCCTCCTCAAAGCTTCTCTGTTGGCCCGTCGCTTGGAAGTGCACTTAGACAGACCTTTACAGTATTCAGACTGAACGAAGCGAGGGAAGGCTCCATTCTCCATTAGACTGTAGATGTTCTTTTGTGCCACAACAAAACAGGATGGCGCCGGCTGTTGGAGATTTTGCCTGATAGCATCTTTAGTGTAGAAATCTAAGTTGACCTGTTAAGACATTGCAAGCAATACGTACGTTACACAAACATACTTTGGTCAAGTAAATGTGCAGTTTTTCCTCTGCAAGGAATTTATCAACAATCTGTGAACTGTTCGATTTCTACCATCATCCCTAAATGTTTTCTTGTAGAACTTTACCTGCGAAGGAGAGTCAGAGCCAATGAATTCTTCATAAATGTGTGATGCTCTTTCTTGACGCTCATCCAGTCGGTCCAAGGTTTTAAACTCTTGACAGGCAAGCCAAAAGTCCAGGTTTTCCTCACAGAATTCAGACTTTAGAAAGTCGCGAAAGGCTGACTGTCCAACTTTATGAATTTTTTTTTTTTTTTAATTGAAAGAAGAGCATAAAGTTTTTGTCAAAATAACAATCACAATATACCTTGTAAATTATATCATGGAGGTTTAGAAAATACCTTTTTCGGAAAGAAGCACCTCAAGAGACGTTTCAACTGACCTCGAGTCACTTGCAGTCTTCCTGTACAGGAGAAAAAAAAAATCGTCCAAAATATTTGCTTGCCTATAACATAGATTATGAATAAAAGCTGAGTACCTGTCGATTTTAGCTCGTGGTGAAGCATTCTGAATGAAGACATGTATTTTGGTTTTCCATACATCGTGTCTACAAGAAATAAACAATCAAAAAGGAATCATGAAACCTCTTTCTGACTTTCAAAGAAATCATGCAATACTACAGTATACTTACATTCTGTTTGGGGTCTGAAGGTCAAGAGTGGTCCTAGTAAGTCTAGTATCCATGGTCAAATATGAAAAATTGACGTCCTCCTCTTTAATCCAATTTGCAGGTTGTAGATGTTTGCACAATGGTATCTGAAATACTATAATGGCAAGTTTTCAGAAAACAAATTCATATCCTCACAGCTTCATCGTTTGACATTGTTTGGCTCCGCATAATCAAAGAAGGCAGAGCCAGAGTGGCATATGACTGTGATGTCAAGACGCTTCACGCTTCTCCCTCAGCTACAGGCCATTTGCTATTTTTATCTTTGTTTGCATGCATACAAGTTTACAAGTGTGTCCAAAAAAAAAGTTCTGCTTCCTTATTGATGATCTGTAGAACTACTATCAGCCCTCATCATGACATCCGTTTATTAGATTAAGAAGGCCTCTGTGTCATTTCATTTGCCATCCAAAGGCTATTTTTAGTCAGAAATCAAGTGGTCATGAGTTTTAAGAGGTCACTCCTTCATTCCCAATTCATTAAGAGTGAAGTCTTTGTGCGATTCATTATCAGCAGGGGAACTTTTAACTTGTTTTTTTTTTTTTTTTTTTTAATGAATGTGCAGTACTTATCTTGGGTGGCACGGTGTTCGACTGATAAGTGCGTCCGTCTCACAGCGCAGAAGTGCAGGGTTCGATTCTTGTGCCTTCTTGTGTGGAGTTTGCATGTTCTCCGGGTGCCTGCATGGGTTTTCTCTGGGTACTCTGGTTTCCTCCCACATTCCAAAAGCATGCATGGAAGGCTAGTGGAACACTTAAAATTGTCACTAGGTGTAAGCGTGAGCGCAAATGGTTGTTCGTCTAAGTGTGCCTCGCGATTGGCTGCCAAGCAGTTCAGGTTGTACCCCGCCGACTGCCCGAAGACACCTGGGATAGGCTCCATACATTGTTTATGTAATGTAGTATTAAAAAAACGCAACATTCAGCTTTCTGGGTGATAAAGCAAATGAGGAATGTTTATTTTATTTTATTTTTTTAGGGATAGAAATGGGCCATGGTCTCATATGCCACTAGTATAGATTCGCCCCTCCACTGAGCAACAGCCGAATCCCATCTCCATATTCATAAGCAAAACAAGGGCAATGTGGAGTGAGCTGCCAACCTTGACTATTAGCATAAAGTAGAGGAAGACATTTGTGTTTATGAAACAGAATTTTCTTGCGAAGAAAAATATTGGACTTGCTTTTTACATTAAAGCTTAAAATCACTTCTAGCCTTGGTCGAGATTTGTCAGACGATGTTGTATTCAAGGATGTAAAAAAAATTGGCTGCCAACCTTGACTATTAGCATAAAGTAGAGGAAGGCATTTGTGTTTATGAAACAGAATTTTCTTTTCACAAATAACATATTCTTGCGAAGAAAAATATTGGACTTGCTTTCTACATTAAAGCTTAAAATCACTTCTAGCCTTGGTTGAGATTTGTCAGACTATCTTGTATTCAAGGATGTAAAAAATTTTTTGGGGTCAAAGAATATTTTCTTTCCATTCACACAGTTTCTATGCCTCTTGTCCTTATTAGGGTCGCGAGTTAGCTGGAGCCTATCCCAGCTGACTTTCAGCCAGAGGAAGCATACACCCGGAACTGGTCATCAGCCGATTGCAGATTCTCAAGGATTTCTGAGACAAAGTCTTCAAGCAACACCCAACAGTCTCCTTATAATCTCCTGTAAACACACCATGTGGAACAAAATGCGTGACTGACAGCGTGAATTATAAGGAACATCGTGAAGATAAGCAGTTTGGGCGCATAGATGGATAAGTGTTCCTTCCATTCATGTGCTCAAAATTATCCTCAAATGATATTTAGTCGATTTTCATTTAATTTAGGGTGCCCTAGTTTCCTCTCCATTAGACAGCGAAATGTGTGAATCATCACTTGTGTGTGCAGTCACAAGGATGACAAGTGATATGAAATGCGGATGTGGGCCCTTTGCAGTTCCTTCTCATATCTGTCACAGGATGAACTTTTATTTTCTCACTTTGAATGATACAAATGCATATGTTACTTATTCCCCTGCCGCGATGGCTTCGTTTTATGGCGAGTTTGTCAGATTAGCTTGAATGAAATCAATAAAAATGAACTTCAATGAAGAGCCCGGCAGCTCGTAAGAAGCTTTTGAAACATTTTTAACACCGTGAAGGTTCGATGACATGGTGAAAAATGCTCAATGAGTCACGCATACTCTCAACATTCCACGCATGATTTAACAGTTGTTCACGTGCAGGTTGTTTATTCACTCGTGAGTATTTATGGGGTCGAAAGAGATCTCACTTTCCTGATTTGGACTTTTAAAGTTTTGCACATGTGGAAAACATCTTGCATCTATGATTTAGTTTATTGGGGAAAAAAATCACATAATAACAATGACTGAAGACAAATGTAGGAAAGCAAGGGTAAATGAAACATTTTAAGATGCTTTTATGAAGCTCAAAAACACGCCCGACATTTAAGTATTCGTCAAACATACGCAATCTAGTTTATAGTGCTCAGTTTTGGTGGAAACTAAGTGACAAATTAGGTAACCATACAAATAAGTTAACCTACTGTGAATCAGAAGTGATGCAGTTCTACTATAATACAGCTTTGTGCAAAAGTCTTGTCCACAATTTGATTTTCCTGTTTTCGGAATGAAAAATCAGAATGATATATATGTTGCAGCTCCGAAACAACGACAGCTGTAGTGTTGTTTTTAAAAACGTACACGTTATTAATGCTTTTAACACTCAACAAATACAGACACATCTACGGTAGCAACCAAGGCTAACACAAAATGTTCTGTGTCCGACGACGTGCCTTCTCTTCTGCCGTTTGACTCGAGATGCGTTCAAAGACCGCCTTCGAAAAACGTAACTTAAGGATAACTTCAATGACACTATGAAAATAATGCACCAAAACAGAAAATCCAGCGGAGAAATCACAAAATAAATTCTATCGGGGGTGTTTGTGAACACGCAACAAAGGAATAAATAACAGACAATTCTGAAATAGTCCAGTCTCCTACATATATGACAGAAAAAAAAACTCTGTCAGGGCGAAACTATTAAAAGTGAAAAAAATAAAAATAAAATAGGGCACCATACATGTTTGTTTGTCCCATAATTCAATAGTTTACATTGTACTTCCTGATTTGCGGAGGACTGTAAACAAATAGATGTCATTATGAGGTGAACTTGTTGCACTGATGTTAAAGTGATTGATACATTTCGTTTGCTGTTTTTGCTTAACTCCTTCGTTGAGTGACATTTTCAGAGCCACCTTTACCCAATGACATGGATGTAAACAACTTACTGATTTAAATGTCAAAATCAATGCCATAAAAAAGTTTCAAAATAAAAACAAAGCTCGTGGTGGCCGAATACTTTTGCACGATACTGTGTTTTCAATAGGAGCATTGTCATCATTGCATGGGCAACATTTCAGATACATTTCACTAATGCTGGACCTAATGTTGAGATGGCTGGATGTGCTGTACTGAATAACAATGAGATGCATCCATGCAGCGTCATCTTGGCCTCAGGGAGACAGTGGACTGTTGTAACAAAGGGAGAATTGCAACACCCTCAAATTTAACCAATCAGAAGTGAGCAGTGGTGATGTAATCAATCCAGTCCATGCCCATATACAAATTGGTGAGGCCTCATGCCTCAGAGTTGAAAACTGTCTGAATATGGGTACCGTGTGTTAAAATTTGAGATCTCGAGCATAAAGAGCCATTGAGTTACACTTACTCAAACAAGTAGTTTCAAAATGTGCTGCAGATATTTGCAAAGTATAAGAAATGAGCCAGTTGTAAATAAATATTGTTTAATACATCAGTAGAATAGCGACTTTAGCCAACAAGCATCACATTTAGTTTTGGTTTCCAAAGAGTGGCTGTCTGGCACACCCACGGTGAGGATGCTCAAGTCCATGCAGGTAGTCCAACATTGCGCTTACCGTACTTTGTCAAACTCTGAGATGTGGTATGCGTATTTACATCATCACCGATTCAGATCGAGTCTCGAATAGCCCGATAGATGTCAGACCTGAGGAAGCGGGGGTAAGAATCTCCCTCCATTAGCTTGAAGACAATCCTCTGGGCTTCATCAAAGCATCCCGCGCCGCCCGTCTTCAGGTTTCGCCTGATCAGCTCTCTGGTCCTGTGATCAATGTTAATCTAGAGGACACACACAACAGTTTTTTTTTTTTTTTACAGCAGGTACCGTCATTTTCCTCATCCATTATTTGTCAGCGTGCGCTGTGAAGGTGTGCATACCTCTCTGGGGGCCTCGACCTGGATGTAAAGTTTGAAGATTTTTTCCGCCTTGCATGTCATCCTATAGGAGGACCTGATCTTCTTGTATTCCTCGCACACCAACCAGAATTCCATGTTTTCATCGCTGAACTCGGACTTCAGGAAGGCCTGGAATACTTTTGTGCCATCTAATGCAGAAATGTCAGCAGTTACAGGATGGTAGGGGCTCAACAACAGACTCACTGGAAGTGAAGGATGAACTTACATTTCGATGCGATAAGTTTCTCGAGGGAGTGTGACCACTGAGACAGTTCTTCAAAACAAAGCCTTCAAATTGAGAAGAAGTTGCAGAATGTGATTGTTCGTTCTTAGTTGTCAGTTGACTTGCACTCACTTTTTGTGTACCTACCCTCTAGTTCTTGAACCTTGAAATGATCTGCACTGCAGCCGAGACTTTAGACCTCCTTCTCTGTCCGCATTAAACATCATCTCTTAGTTTACTGAAGTATATTTGTCATGCTAAAATATGAAATATGAGTAACTAAAGAATTGTAGAACACTTGAGTTCACTCACCTGACTGTCGCCTGTTTCTTTTCGTCGGTATCCATGCTGCTCAGTCTCTCTTTTGCTGGTGAAGTGACCAGACTTGACATGTGGCATGGCAGTGATGAAGAACTTTGATTTTGTGCACGCATGTATGAGCCTGTGTCGAGCAGCTCTAAAGATCACAAAGCGCCGGTCTCAAACTGTTTCGTAAATCTACTCATCGACTTTTATATGGGCAGCAGAAGTGAGGTACGAGCGTCACAACGTCATTCTAGGCTAACCACAGGAAAAAGAGGAAGTTGAGAATTACGCAAATGCAGCTACGACTGTACGTACTGAAACCTGCCAACACAGGTCATTGTTTGATGTCATTTCTGGAGATGCAAATCTGACAGTGGAAAGCAGATAGGCAAATGTTTGCCACACTTTTGTCACAACAAAGAACACTTTCTGGTCATGTTTTTGGAAAATGTCTACTTCAGGCACAACTTATATGTATATATGACTCTCCTCAAAAACAAACACTGGAAGTTTTGAATCTGATCGAATGGCCATGACATATGTGGTCCCTCAAGGGTCAGTCCTTGGACAGCTTCTGTTCACTTTGTATGTGTTACCTTTGGGTCAAATGCTTCAGAATTCTATTGTTGGCTATCACAGTTATGCAGGAGACACTCAGCTATCGTTATCAATGTCCCAAAATGACATCAGATTGTGTCACTGTATAGAGCAAATTACGAACTGGATGAACCTAAATTTCCTTCAGCTTAAGCAAAACAAAATTAAGGTTATTATTTTCGGCAATCAAGAAAAAAGATGATTGCTGTTAGAAAACACCTGATGACACCGTCATTAGATATCAAAGACCAAGTCAGAAGTCTTTAGGTGATGATAAACTCTGAGTTAACTTTTAGCAATCATATCAAATCAATCTCTAAAATTGCCTTTTACAAGCAGAAAAACATATCCAGAAAAAAAAAAAGGGTTGCAGGCTCCAAGCAAACCAGGAGAAACCTGCTTGCCATACTTTCATCTCCAGTAGACTTGATTAGTCTTCTGACTGGACTTCCTCATAAGAGCACGGTGTAGTCCATCTACTACCCAAAGACAGCTGGGATGGGCTCCAGCACGCCCCGCGTCCCTTGTGAGGACAAAGCAGATCGGAAAAATGGATGGATGGATAAATAATTAAAAATCATATTTTCATGTTATTTTAGAAAAGGTTTTCTGTTATTGTGTTTAAATGGCATCAAAGTACATTCTGGTAATTTTTGTTAGTTACTATTGTTTTCTCAGATTTGCTTCTGAATGATGTTAACCATTGCGTTTGTAAATGCATGTAGTTGTTGACTCTCATTGTGTGAAGCACAGAGAGTTGCCTTGTGTTCTTTGTACACTGAAAAATGTTTTGGCTGAATTTATTTCGTCAAGTGGTTGAATGAAATATTTTAAAAAATGTATCTGCATCCGGGTAATTTTATTTTGTGAGGCCACTTGACAAATTAAATCGAGTAAATTCAACACGCCTTTTTTTTTTCAATGTATGAAATTTGCTTTAAAAATAAAAGTGAGGATGAGAAGGCTTGGAAACTGTCATTTGTTTTCATTGTACTCTGATAATGCCCACTTGAATCGGGGCCAGGTAACGAACCCGATCCACCGGGTGGAGATAAACTTACAAGGCTGGAATAGAAAAGTATCATCCTGAACTTTGTGTTTAGGATTGTTTGGCCTTGGTGGAGGTCAGGTCAAGTGCTTCCCTCAACGATGATGTTGTTTTCAGCCAAGTAGCTTTCACAAATGTACAACAATGTTTACAAAATAAATGCAGTTCCAAACCCCAGAAGGTTAGATCCTGTTTATTTAAAATCTCAAGTAAAAGTAATTTCTGTATATAGGAGAGAAATATTTTTTATTCAGTTGGATTCCATACATGTCTGTAACTCAAGGCCAGGAAAAGAAGATTGGAAACGGTTGTTTGCAGAAGAGGCAGCGCACCACTGTCCTCACATTCAAACCGTGTTTACCTTACAGACTACAAGAAAACAAGTTATTGTTATCTCTGTAAACAAAGAAAGCTGATTTAAGACATTCTTGGCGGAGGCGGCGGTGGTGGTGGTGGTGGGGTAGCAAAATTTACTCTAATCATTTAATTAAAATATAGTTTTACTTCAAGTGACAATCTTGGGCAATTTGTCGTTCATGCTCATGCTGTGATTTAAATAACTGACCGGTTACTCAGTACATGTAGTTTCTCCACTGAGAATGTATTTACTTCTTATTCATGGACTACAGTGATCCTTCGCTATTTCGCGGTTCGTTTATCGCGGCTTCAGTGCATCGCCGGATTTTTTCAAACATATTCATAATATTTTTTTTAATCCGTCAAAAGTCCATAAAACGTCCACGAGAAGCAGCGAAAGTCAGCAAAACAACAGCGAGTCACACAGAGCAACATGTACTACATGTATATGTTTACTGTATTTTGTTATTCATAAACTAACCTAACTTATACATGTTTAAATCTGTTAGTATACAGCATTAAGTCATGTTAATTACCTCAAAATTTACTTCTACATGCATGTATACCATTAAATTTGGCCTTATAAATATTATGTACATGTACCTATATGGAGGGGGTGGGGATCGCTACTTCGTGGATTTTAATTTATCGCGGGTGATTTTGGTCCCCATTAACCGCGATAAACAAGGGATTACTGTACTTTTTACATTTACCAGACTCATATTTTTCTAAAGTAACATCATTCTTACTTGAGTAGAAATATTGGCAACTCTAACACCCATGTTTGGGCTCTCCACTTTGTCTATCTGAAGAAATAGGAGAATTTTCTTCCATTCAAGCTTTTCAGTTGATTACACAAACATTAATATTTAAATTTGGGGCAGCATAAAAATAGGCGGCCCGGTGGGCCAGTGGTTAGTGTGTCAACCTCACAGTGCTGAGGTACCGGATTCGATTCCAGCTCCAACCTCCCTGTGTGGGGTTTGCATGTTCTCCCCGTGCCTGTGTGGGTTTTCTCCGGGTACTCCGGTTTCCTTCCACATTCCAAAAACACGCATAGCAGGCTGATGAACACTCAAAATTGTCCCGAGGTATGAATGTGAGCGCGGATGGTTGTTCGTCTTTGTGTGCCCTGCGATTGGCTGGCAACCGGTTCAGGGTGTCCCCCGCCTACTGCCCGAAGACAACTGGGATAGGGTCCAGCACACCCCGCACCCCTTGTGAGTATAAAGCGGATCGGAAAACAGATGGATCGATGGCAGCACAAAAATGAAGGGCCCCATGAGAGGGTTTTTCTTGGGCCCCCGAATGACAAACCTCATAAAAAGGAGAAAAAAAAGCAATTGTTGGAAAATGTGTTTTTTTTCTTCTTTAACGGTACAATCTTGCCTTTGTGCGTACATTTCAGAAAATAAGCAAAATCTGCTTTGTGTCACGAAAGAGAAAAGTGATGTGGGCAAATGCTACAATAAAGTATCAAAACAAAATAATTATACTATATTTGATGCCTTGCATCCTAACCGAAAGCAAGAAAGCTCATCTTCTGAACAAATACCAAGTCATCCATCGGTGGTTTGTGCTGTGGTCAGTGTTTGTTAGATTGTTGACAGAAACAGACGTCAGTACGGGATGGAATGCACGCATTGATCAGTTGTTCTGATACAAACTTATGTAAGACTATTTTAAAAATTGCACTTCCTACATTTAAAATGTCGCTGTCACTCGGCCGTATCATTTTTCTTGTGACACTTACTTCCTCCTCATCACTAAGCTTTGGTTTTACGCTGTCTGTACACTATTCTCATCAGTGTGGATGATGATTTTTTTGTTAAAAAAAAGTGGTGAACTGCTATACAGAGTTTAATTCTAACAGAGAATTCATTACTAGAGGAAGTAGATCATCTGATAAATGTCTGAAAAGTGTTAGGAAGCGTCTATCACACTGTCAGCAAATTCTGGAGAATTGCAAAGTAGTAACACAACAAAAGGTGTAACAACTACGAAGAAAAAAACATGCAAGGTGGCATCTTTCAGTCTCAGACCAAAGACAAAAGAGATTGGAATCTTTCAGACATGATATATTCTTTGAGTTTATACTTCTTTATTGCATTTGTTCACAAAAATATTGTCGCACTTCTTCATCGCAAGGGTCTGAGCCGTACAATCGTTGAAATGCAGTATAGTTTTCATTTGCATTAGCAATGGGAACTATGAAATAAAAACAGGACCTGCACATGATCAAAAAGAAGAAACCAAACAGAACTGTCTGTAAAAGTAAATTTCCCTTTGGTGATGATTTAAGCTAAACACACTGTTGATAAGGAAGTGGGTCATATTCCTCCTTGTTATGTAACGTAAAGAACTCGGTTGCCATGCAGGTGTTCATTTGCAGACCTCAGTCCTCTGCGGGAACTGGAATACACACCTGGGTCTTATTCATGCGGCCAACAAATCTAATACGGTCCAAATCACATCCTTTACGAAGATTGTGGCTTCTCAGCTTTCAATGACAATCAGGGCTTAAATGAATCTTTATTATTGTGGTTGGGGTTAATAATGGTATTGAGCTTGCAATGTATCAAAAATATTTTGGTGACCTCGTTCATTAGGGTAAAACATTAGATGACCCAAGTTCAACCCTACTTTTACCTCATTCACTTGCAGCCATTTTCAGTAATCCGAACCAATAGAATGCCATCCAGTTTAGAGCATTTTGACAGATTTTTCAAGACCCACCCAATACTGTGCTCTATGATTATTTATACACCGAATCTACCCAACGACTGGCTATTTACTTTCAATGGAAAAACAATTACTTTGCGAACTCATCAGAAAGGCACTTCAGCCGTGAGTGGCTGTTCCCCGGAAACACCTGGTCATCCTCGTCAGATTTTCAAAATAATTATTGTGCCCCCCCAACCCCCATTTTTTACAAATATACTTTTGCCAAAATATCACAATACGTTGTATGTGAATTCTATGCATATATGTTCCCTGTTCGAATGTATGTTTCAGAAGCCGTTGTTGAGTGCTGCCGTACGACAAGGTATCGACTCTTTAATCAGTTGGCAAACAGAACCGATTTTAAATCTAAAATCTCGCACTACTACCCTCTACTGGCGTGTCTGCCTCACTGCTGCACTAGAAGCGCTTGAAATTTAGAGGGAAAGCATCAACCCACCACCCACAATGATTGAGGTTAAAAAAAAAAAATCGTTCTTGGCGCTTCATGTTTTAATTGAATTCTGATGAGTTCGCAATTTAATTGTTTTTCCATTGAAAGTAAAGAGTCAGTCATTGGGTAGATTCGGCGTATAAATAATCATAGAGCACAATACTGTGTGGGTCTTGAAAAATCTGCCAGAATGCTCTAAACTGGATGGCACTCTCGTGGTTCGGATTCCTGGAAATGGCTGGCAGGGAATGAGGTAAAGCAGGGTTGATCTGGGGTCATCTAATGGTTTACCCGAATGAAATATCATTCTTTTCATTTCATGAGTTCCACTTTTAATTCGTAACACATCAAAAGTTTGTACCAAGTTTCAAAAGTCAAAATGTGTTGGAGCATATTTTATTTTTGTATTGAATTGAATAATGTCGATAATACTTCAGGGGAGTCCTTATGATAGTGGAGTGGGCAGAGTAAAGAAATCTTAGCTCACAATCTCTTCAAATACTTAAAAAAAATTATATTACCTTCATAAATAAAAGAGATAGTATAATACAAGCTGAAAATTGCCTCGGGCTGCGAGCGTCTACTGAATCACACAGGTTGAGAACACGTGGAACTGCGTTGCAGGGCAGAATCCAGACATCCAGTGAAATCACACGTAGTCGTACTACAGAACAAGGTGAGAGCGATTTTGCATGTCTGCGGGTCTGCCGGCTTTAAAAGAGTCACCTTAAGTCGGTTTTCCTCAGAAGTCCTTGATAGATGTCAGACTTGAGGAAGCGTGGGTAGCAATCTCTGGCCATCAGAGAGTAGATGAGCCTCTGAGCCGTGTCGAACGAAGTCAACGTCGGCTGAGAGATGTTATTTGTAATTTTTTCCCGGGTAACACAATCGATGTTGATCTGAAATGAAACCATATTGGACAAAGGCATCTTAAAGCAATGGCTCTTTCAACTTGCACTGTATGTTTCTGGTAAAGGGGAAGACATCTTGCATGATCGTGCAGTAATACTTAACAGGCATAAACATTCAGAAAAAGAACGACAAGGTTATGCTGGATCTGTAGGGGCAACGGTGGCTTGTCCAGGAAGTGCTAGCACGGTGGAGGCCACCCCTTCTATAGTCTTGCGGACGTCAAGCGACTGATCATTTATTTATGACATACTGCACCCAAAATCTCCATTCGCTATTCCTATTGATATTAGCGACCGAATGACTCAATCAACTGGAATCGGTTACTCATTCTACACCGACCCAAAAACATGTCATAATCCAACAAATGAAACATCCACCTGGGCCAAAATGGTAAATGGAGTACATACTCAAGACTATGTAGTGCTTTACCTTCATTGTATGCCTAAAAAGCCATATTAACTTCCAGTATATCATTCAAATATAGCAAAGTGCAGCCTTGACCGGCGCATTGACGTAGCATATGGAAAGGTTTTCCTTTTTAGTTTAAAATAACTTACTTTACTCTCCTGGATACCACGCCTTACCCTGGCCAAGGGCGGACTGGACGTTTTTTCTCATTGGTCCCGTTTCAAAACCATCTACGTTGTGTTCTACAAGCCTCATCTAAGCTTTGTGCTAAGATAGCTTGGTGTAAATTTGCAAATTTGCAAACTCCCTTTTTGCTAGGATGGCGTTAGCTGGCCAACAGCTATGCGACTCCTTGAAGCATCTGCTCGAATGTAGCACGTCTATGGCTTTCACGCATGCTGTGCACTCTCCACGTAGATACGTCAGACATAGGGAGACGGGGAAATGCCATTCGCACATTCCTCTCTGACGACAACAGACTATGACCGTTTTGACTCAAATAGGGAAATTGTGATTTGGTGTTTGTTTTGCCCCTGTCAGTCATGGGCCCGTAGAATCATCATCACATTTGTCTTCCTTATGGCTTTTGACACAGGACCTTCATACTTGATACGAAGCAACATGGACAACTCCAGGATTTTTTTTCCCCCCTGAGGCTAAAGTGGTGCTAGACCGGTACAAAGGGCGGCTGAGAAAATAATTTATAAATAATCGAATTAGAAAGAAGATGGATGGATGTTCTTATTTGTTAATGCACTGCATGTTTGAGAAAATCACAATCAATCAATCTTCCTTTTTTGGCCCTGGCCACAAGCAGTGAATGTCACTGCTTTCCTGTTTGTGACAATGTCGGGCAAATTAAAACATAATAATTCCATTTTATTTACTCGACGGCACGGTGATCGACTGATTAGAAAATCTGCCTCACAGTGCAGAGGTGCAGGGTTGGATTCCGGCCTCCCTGTGTGGAGTTTGCATGTTCTCCCCGTGCCTGTGTGGGTTTTTTCCGGGTACTCCGGTTTGTGAGTCTGAACGTGAATGGTTGTTCGTCTACGTGCGCCCGCCCTGCAATTGGCTGGCAACCAGTTCAGGGTGTATTGCCAGAAGACAGGCGGGATAGGCTCCAGCACGCCTGCGACCATTATGAGGATAAGTGGATTAAAAAAATGAATAGATGGATGGACACTTTATTTATAGTTACCATGCACTGTAATCCATATTTTCCATTCGTCCTTTTTTGACAGTGCTTGTTCGCATTAGGGTGAGTTTGAGCCTATCCCAGCTGACAATATTCACAAGCCAGTGCAATATAAATATAAAATTGACTTCAATTGACTTAACAAACATTTTAGAGTCCTCAATATTTTTTTTTTGTTGTGGGGGGGGGGGGGGAGGAAGCCGCAGACTTACTAACTAAATCATGCTCATTGTCATCATCATCATCATGTACCTGTTTGGGTGCTTCTGTTTGAACAAACTCAGAGTAGATCCTGTTGGCAGAAGAGATCATCTCTGGGACATTCTTAATTTTTTTATACTCCTCACATGCAAGCCAAAACAGGAGGTTCTCCTCGCTGTGCTCCGACTGCAAGGACTCCCGGAAAGCTAACTGACCGTCTGCAAAGCAAAAACCTGGATGAGAGGGAGAACGTCTTCATCAGAAGCGAGAGAGGCACTCACTTTTACAAGTGAGGACATTGTCCACCGACTCGCTCCAAGCGTCGACGTCCTCCAACGGGTCCTTGAGAAAGCAGCATAATCTCCCCTTGAAAAGAGCGTGGAGATTCGTCACAAGCACGGTTAGATGACATTTATTCACTGGAAAAGTGGAAAAGAACCTGCAAACACTCGGCTTGAGCCTTCTTTTCAAAATGAATATGCAGTGCAAAATAACACTTACGGAAAGCGAAATCCGTCTTGTCATTTTCCACATGGCTGCTGTAAATGGCTGGAAATGTTCAATGCCCCCCAAAAAATGAAAAGTACAGAAACTCACTTGATGGCCATCTCTTCATCCAAAAAAGCAAGGGGATAGAAAAGACAAAACTCTGCCACACTGATGATGTGATTGTGATTGTTTGGAAATGAGGCAGACAGGTGACTGAACAAATCCAAATTGGTCTGACCAACAGGAATGGAAGGCTTACTTTACTCTCCTGGATACCACGCCTTACCCTGGCCAAGGGCGGACTGGACGTTTTTTCTCATTGGTCCCGTTTCAAAACCATCTACGTTGTGTTCTACAAGCCTCATCTAAGCTTTGTGCTAAGATAGCTTGGTGTAAATTTGCAAATTTGCAAACTCCCTTTTTGCTAGGATGGCGTTAGCTGGCCAACAGCTATGCGACTCCTTGAAGCATCTGCTCGAATGTAGCACGTCTATGGCTTTCACGCATGCTGTGCACTCTCCACGTAGATACGTCAGACATAGGGAGACGGGGAAATGCCATTCGCACATTCCTCTCTGACGACAACAGACTATGACCGTTTTGACTCAAATAGGGAAATTGTGATTTGGTGTTTGTTTTGCCCCTGTCAGTCATGGGCCCGTAGAATCATCATCACATTTGTCTTCCTTATGGCTTTTGACACAGGACCTTCATACTTTATACGAAGCAACATGGATAACTCCAGGATGTTTTTCCCCCCCTGAGGCTAAAGTGGTGCTAGACCGGTACAAAGGGCGGCTGAGAAAATAATTTATAAATAATCGAATTAGAAAGAAGATGGATGGATGTTCTTATTTGTTAATGCACTGCATGTTTGAGAAAATCACAATCAATCAATCTTCCTTTTTTGGCCCTGGCCACAAGCAGTGAATGTCACTGCTTTCCTGTTTGTGACAATGTCGGGCAAATTAAAACATAATAATTCCATTTTAGTTACTCGACGGCACGGTGATCGACTGATTAGAAAATCTGCCTCACAGTGCAGAGGTGCAGGGTTGGATTCCGGCCTCCCTGTGTGGAGTTTGCATGTTCTCCCCGTGCCTGTGTGGGTTTTTTCCGGGTACTCCGGTTTGTGAGTCTGAACGTGAATGGTTGTTCGTCTACGTGCGCCCGCCCTGCAATTGGCTGGCAACCAGTTCAGGGTGTATTGCCAGAAGACAGGCGGGATAGGCTCCAGCACGCCTGCGACCATTATGAGGATAAGTGGATTAAAAAAATGAATAGATGGATGGACACTTTATTTATAGTTACCATGCACTGTAATCCATATTTTCCATTCGTCCTTTTTTGACAGTGCTTGTTCGCATTAGGGTGAGTTTGAGCCTATCCCAGCTGACAATATTCACAAGCCAGTGCAATATAAATATAAAATTGACTTCAATTGACTTAACAAACATTTTAGAGTCCTCTTGCGTTCATTTTTTTTTTTTTTGTTGTGGGGGGGGGGGGGGAGGAAGCCGCAGACTTACTAACTAAATCATGCTCATTGTCATCATCATCATCATGTACCTGTTTGGGTGCTTCTGTTTGAACAAACTCAGAGTAGATCCTGTTGGCAGAAGAGATCATCTCTGGGACATTCTTAATTTTTTTATACTCCTCACATGCAAGCCAAAACAGGAGGTTCTCCTCGCTGTGCTCCGACTGCAAGGACTCCCGGAAAGCTAACTGACCGTCTGCAAAGCAAAAACCTGGATGAGAGGGAGAACGTCTTCATCAGAAGCGAGAGAGGCACTCACTTTTACAAGTGAGGACATTGTCCACCGACTCGCTCCAAGCGTCGACGTCCTCCAACGGGTCCTTGAGAAAGCAGCATAATCTCCCCTTGAAAAGAGCGTGGAGATTCGTCACAAGCACGGTTAGATGACATTTATTCACTGGAAAAGTGGAAAAGAACCTGCAAACACTCGGCTTGAGCCTTCTTTTCAAAATGAATATGCAGTGCAAAATAACACTTACGGAAAGCGAAATCCGTCTTGTCATTTTCCACATGGCTGCTGTAAATGGCTGGAAATGTTCAATGCCCCCCAAAAAATGAAAAGTACAGAAACTCACTTGATGGCCATCTCTTCATCCAAAAAAGCAAGGGGATAGAAAAGACAAAACTCTGCCACACTGATGATGTGATTGTGATTGTTTGGAAATGAGGCAGACAGGTGACTGAACAAATCCAAATTGGTCTGACCAACAGGAATGGAAGGTATGAAAATGTGTATGCAAAGCGTTTTTTGTTTTTTTTTTTGCGAGGAGGGGTTATCCCTCCTTGTCTGCCGCTCCTCCGATCCAGACAAAGGTTTGACAGTGATTTTGCATCGCATCACCTCTTGACCCGTGCGTGCTTGTGCTCAATGGACTCTCCCGAAAGCTCCGGATGGCAGGAGCTTGACCAAGGAAGTTTATTCAAAATTGCCAAATAATCAAACATGTCCGATATTTAATCTGATACTGTTTTACTTTTGCTGTTCGGAGTACACACAGAGGAATTTGGCATCATCTTCCCATGAGAATTTACATACTCGTTTCATATCCTTTGATTTAGAACGGATCAAAGAGATCAGATGCTGTATATCTGACGCGTCTTTGCACGGCAACTGAGCGTGACTTCATTTCTCGTGACATCGTCATGACGTCGCTCACTCTTCTGCTGCTCTTGTCTGGCGTCACAGTCAATCTCTCAAACCAGCCTTTTTGAACCCGCGCTCTCCTTCCTGACCACTGACCAAGAATGTAAATCAGAACAGGTGGTGTCAAAATCCCACGGCTGTGCCCTTATTTGCATGGCCGTACGATCCCCAGCTTGAGGAATTTGATTTTCAAAAAAGGCACAGCCTGCAAACAAGGTGGCCATATATTGTGTCTAGTTTCGAATGTAATAAAAGTATGCAGAGCTTCAAGGAAAAAACACAACCATTCATTAAATGCTTGATTAAAAACTAGTATTTTTTGCTCTCATACATATACAAAGAATCGTTACCCTCGCCGTAAAATCAGGGACTGCATCACAGGATGCAATTCCCTAATTCCACGCAGGAGGGCAGTCTAGTTCTCTGCAGTATTTCTGCCAGTTTTCTCTCTTACTGCTTGCTGTGTCAAATGTTTTTTTTTTTGGTTCTTTTTTGTTTTGTTTGTTTGTTTTTTTTTCCCCCTTTCACGTTTGGTCCACCTTGTATTCTAACTCCATTAAGGGTCAGCGTTGACTGCTAGGATTTTGAACCCTTTTACAGCAAGTCAATTGGCATGCATCTGATGACTTATTTCAAGAAAGCAATTAGTACACAGCCAACTTGGAGTCAGGTCATCTTTCTGCAGAAACTATGTGAAGCCATGCTGGGCGGTCGAGGCCTGACGAGTAAAACCTTAGAGAGAATTGCCATATACTGTGCAGTCCAACGAGCACCACTTAAGCACATACTGCAGGTGAAGCATAACGTGCTTGTAGTTAATATTTATACACACGAACCTCTGCGCACCTCTCTATAGGTCCAACGTTATTGAGTTTTTCTGACAGAAGTGTTGTCTGGCCTAGAGCTTATAGTTGCTGCAATATCCTGACATATGTTCAATGATGGCATTAAGTCCCTGAGCTGTGGCCATCATGACTAAAAGTTTTGTTTCTGGCAGGATGAGTTCATTTGTAATTTTGTGTGCCTTCTGAAGACATCAACTTTGTTTGGAAGACATGTTATTGTAAATGTTAAGGCCTTCACAAGGTACGAGCCATGGGCCCGACGATAAGCCAGACGTTGTGTAGTGTCGATAAACGTCATGGACTGCAGACACTGAAATATATCTTTCCAGTACAGATGTATTTGTTTGGGTTAAGTTGCACACCCCGATGTCCCAGGCTGTGAGTCAGCACTACCTCTCAAAAATGTGGATCACGTAGCAGCTGACAGCTCCGAGATGGTGAGCAATTGGTTCCTAAAATGTGAATTTGCCAAAGGGCTGGCACACAAAAGAGAGGAGACTGAATTGAAGTGATATTTCATCTAAGATTGAGCGTGACAATGACTATCTTAAAAGGTATCAAGTATTTGGACAAACGTTCTGTCTGGTGCAGCCATTAAGGGGGCAATCAGATGAGCAAGTAGAAGACTCAACTGCGCTGTTCCGAAGAATAAACATATCAACCTGTCCAATTTGTGAGCATTAATGGTGTGAATCTGAGGACTTTCTTTTGCGCATATGGGAGAGACAACGGGAGGAAACGAGAGATAATTAGTACCAAGACAACACCCAGGAAGAAAAAAACAAAACCTTTTACAGTATGCTTTTGCAGGTGGTGGCCATGGCTCATTACCTTCTTTCCATTGCTTCTGCTGGATTTCCTTCTCGTTTTCCACACATGGTAGCAAGAAGCAGTATCTGCTCATGTAGCGAATGCTGTTTTGTTGTTGTTGTCGGGGTTCCTAAAAGGTTGCAAGCAGTTGCAGAAAGTTGAAACCATTTTTTTTCTTGTTGTAAAAGAAATTCAGAACATGAAAAGAATTTTATTACGTTTTATTTGTTGTTGCAACTATTAAAGTTCTCGGTGAATGTCTTTGCGACTCTATCGTGCGCTTGAGCCCATATCTCACTCACCGTTTGCAAGTATTTGCGAAGGTAGCGGATGTCGCATTTTCATCATGGTTCGTTCAAAGTCACAAATGTTCACCAAACATTCTCCAGATATCCGCCTGTACTTTTCTTGTTGCAAGGAAATTTTGAGGATGTTCCAAAATTTCCTTGCGACAAAACAAAAAAACAAAAATATTAAAACTGTTTGTGAACATCTAGAGAATGTTTGGCAAACATTTGCGACCTTGAATGAACGCGCATTCGCTACCTGAGCCAACCCTCGCAAACATTCACATTTTAATGGGATACAGGCTTCAAAGCGCATTCTTGTCAGGGCTTGTTCAAGGTCGCAAACGTTCACCAAACGTTCTCAAGACATTCACCAACAGTTTGAATTTTTTTTTAGTTTTTTTTTTTAGTCGGATACGACATCGTGTCACGATCATGTCTTGTTAGCTTTGTTTTCTCATCCCCAGCTGGAGAGTGGGCGTTCCCTCACAAGTCGCATCTGTTTCTAATTTGGCCTCGTTACTTGTCTGCTTTTAAAGCCAGGTCACGCCGACAACTAACTGTCGGATTATTAGCCTTGCTCACGACTCTGTTTCCAAGTGTTTAGTTTTCTAGATTTTCTTGATATTTTGCCTCATAGATTCTCTCCATGTTTTTTTCAATGTTTTATATGTTTTAGTATCATTGCATGTAAGTAGTTATTGTGTTATATTTCAATTTGTATTCTCGCATATTGGATCTCCTTATCCTTTGAGTTTGACAAGCGATTTATGTTTTTCTCATTCCTTGCCATTTGCAAGTGTTTTTGGTTTGTTTTCCCTTTCTCCTGGTTCTTTGTTACCGGTGTCCTTCATTGTTCTATGTAAATAAATATTTGTTGTCAAATCTATTGTCTGGGGCTATGTTTATGGAATCCAATTCTGCCTGAAGCATTCCGGATACTTGACACAGAGTGAGTGAGTGAATGTATTGTATCGGTATTCAAACTTGATCACATTCTTCACCTGATGATGTTTTGTTTTCCCTCTGCACAACTTGTGGATGATTTCGTAGGGTTGTAGTGCACACTGAGTCACCAATCTTGTAAAAAAAAAAAAAACGAGAAAGGAAGAGAAATCTGCCAGGAAAGTCTCAGCAGGCAACTAATCTTTAGCGCTGATGAATTTGGCACAGCAGCAGATCCCCCACCTTTTGTTTCCGTATCATTTATTATTTTCCCCCCATGTTCTCAGACTATCAGCAGAAAAGCCCCAAAACAAAACAAAGCACTAAGCGCAGTATAGGAATGCCCGTAACATTGCAATTGATGCATAATTAATAGGAATTGTGAAGTATCCCATTCAGGTCTTTTCTAGCAACTGAAGTTGCGATGGGCACTGGAGGATCCTTGATACCGCAGCTTCTCTGCTTAATGAGCTGCAGTGTGTGTGTGTGTGTGTGTGTGTAAGTGTGTATGTGTGTGAATATGTTCTGAGTACAGACATGTTGTACTGACTTGTATATTCTCCCTGTAAGCATCTTCATGAGGCAGGAGGGAGAATCTCATTGGCTTACTGACAGTTTGGAATGAATCCGTTATTTGTTTCTGAGGAAAAAAAGCATAGCTTGCGCACGCCTATACACTGACATCAATTATTCCCGGCTCGTGGTGCCAGTTGATAAGGTCTATTAATTTTTCAGTGATGTGAAAAAAAGGGAGCTCCATTCCGTCACAACTTTGCCAGCTATAATATGCATGCATGATGCTTTCATACGTCTCGTTTAAATTTGGTCATTCAAGCAATTAAGATCACAGACACGCCTCATTAAAACTGTATTTAATTGAGAGTGTCTTACGTTCCGCTACGGCGAGGCAAAGCGTTGTAATAAATGTGTATGTGGAATGAGTCCAAAGAGAAACAAACAGCAGATCTTTATTGAATCAAAAAGCAAATTAGTATTGCAATATAGCCGGCATCCCTATTTTGCGACTGATAATGGCATTTATGTCAATTCAAACAAACATACAGTAAGCTACATGTAGTGTGCTAAGTCTCTCATTAAGAAGTTTCAATGCCCTCATGTCACCATCTACGCAGACTTTTCACTTCAAATTAGTTTGGAGGTGGTTGGACAACGGGAGGGAGAAAATAATGAATCATTTTTTGTTAGGATACGGTCAAATGAGCTTGTAACTCATGCGAAATGTATTAAAGTTGCATAAGGTGCTGTTGCCGGTGGCAGACAAATCACTAGCAATGCAGCATGTCTGAATTCAGCGGAACAGGAGAGGTGGAGAACAGCACGGATGGACACATTCCGTCACATTCAGGCATCGCGGGTGCAATGCAGCCATACACGGCACTCTCAAATGGCTTTTAAAAAATAAAGGAACGGACAACAAACGGCCCTGTTGTGCAGCAATCTTTATGGCGCAATCTTCGACAAGAGCAGCGACATAAATGGCAACGTATTGTCAATGCACTTTGCAATTGGCAACAAATGCGTACATAATAAGGATGAAAGGGCACAGCAAAAAGAGATTGTATATATAGTCGGAACTAATAGCGATAGAATACGGTGGAGGGAAAAATAGTCATATGACACAACCGTATGTCTGTGTTCCGCACAGTTTCACAATCTTTATTGTGTATATTGTCACCACTTTTTTTTTCCTTCAGCCACTACTTAAACTGAGAACGACAGTTATTGCGAACTCTATATTGTTGAAAAAAATACGTCCGAAAAGCGCAACATTCAAATGAAAGATTTATTTGCTCTGTTACAGTCCACTTGCAGTGGTGCCATGTGGTGCAGTGAGCAAACATAACCAGCAGAGGGGGCTAATCTGACAAGGCTGGATGAACTGGAGAGCCTTTAAGAACATGACGCTTGAAGAAGAAATTTTATTTCAGCCATCATATTCAAGGAGATTTTAAAATGCTAATTAAATTATATATTCATATATTACAATTGTGCTGTATATATACAATAAACAGTTTGAGCTATTCATAACTAAATAAATAATTCAATCCCTTTTGGTGAGGTTCATACAAATTTTGATAATTCCGTTTTATAGATATTTCACACGTTATGTTTGATTTTTTTAAAAAAGTCTTTGCATATTCAAGTCATTCATTATGAAAAACTCAGCTCAGGGTAGAGATTTTTCCGGTCGGGATTTCTTAGTTTTAGATTTTAAAAGTGAGTGTGATTCAATATTCTGAAATGTCAATGTTAATTCATTGCACACATTTTCAATGTGGTTCTCACATGCACTCGCTGGAACTGATTCACCTCCAATTCTTAATTTGAAGGTACCATATTTTCCGCACTATAAGGCGCTTCGGAGTATAAGGCACACCTTCAATGAATGGCCTATTTTAAAACTGTTTTCATATATAGGGCGCACCGCATTATAAGGTGCATAGAAGCTGCAGTAGTGGCTGTGGTTGTGTTATGCATCCACTGGATGGAGCTACACTAAAGGGAATACAATACAATACAATGCAATACAGCTTTATTTATATAGAGCTTTCACAACCGCTTCAGCTATAACAAAGCACTTTACAGAACATTTAAAATACTACAACAAGAAACCAGAATATTGATCCATATAGGAGGCACATCGGATTATAAGGCGCACTGTCGGCTTTTGAGAAAATGGAATGCTTTTAGGTGGGCCTTATAGTGTGGAAAATCCGGTATTTGAATATTCTCTTCGTTATGAAAGGTTTTTGTCACGTTTTGCGACGTGGAGGAGTAGGCCCCCAAAAGCAGGGAGGCAGGGAGGAGCAGGGTGGAGTGACCAAAATGTATTTAACAAAAATGCAAACAGGAATACACTGGAGAAACTAACTCAAAAACTCACTCAAATAAAGTGCAGCAAAATCAAAGTAGCAAAAAACCCAAGACAGAAAACAAAACATGACACGTGCACACAGCAACAATGACTCGACACTGAGTGGTCGTGCCGGGAGTCCATTTAAACAAATAAACTAATGACACAATGACCAACAGGTGTGCAGTTGCAGGCGTAGCGCTACAGTGCCACCTGTTGGCCACAAACTGAACCATGACAGTTTTAAGCTCTTCTCTATTGCGTGAAGTGTATCAAATCACGTGTCTGGTGAGCGTACATATTGCGCATCTCAATAACAAGTGCAGTGGAAGGAACTTGGCCTTTTTGCTACAAAAATGCTTCATTACACTGTTTGGTGTCTTTGGCCCTAAAATTCCTCAAGTGTTTGGTTCACGTCAAGGTTCTGCACATCAGTCGGCTTCCAAAAATCAACCTGTTATGCCTTGATTTATGAGATGAACTATTATCAAGCGATGTTTTTGGTGAGGATTTCGAGCTTGCAATATTTGCTCAACAGATGAGGGCTAGAGCTATACATTCACACCTAATTAAAATGGCATATTCCTGCAAATATCCCCTATTTGTGTGGCTCAATGGCTTATCGCCAGGCTCCAATATTGGTCAAATAATCCACTGTGATTGTAGAGGGAAATGATTCATTTCGCAGACACGTTGGATGATTACAATCTCAAACACAAATTACGCAATTAAAATTCTACAGCTCGTCACTGGTTATCGCCGATGTCATAATCGCTTTTACGAGTGAGCGGCTATGTCTGAAATGTTATTGCTACCAGGGCGAAGGCTCGGCGGTTCCACCGCCTCGCTCGTTGAAAATACAGGAGCGTGACCTTCTGCGGAACATTGTGACTCCTGGCCCTCTCCTCCTGGTCAGACGTAAATAAAGGTCGGAGTGCAAGAATCGGGGATAGGAGTCTTTTTTCATCAGGCTGTAGACTTTCACCTGGGCCGCTTCGAAACAGCTCCTTGTGGGGTGTGATAAATTGGTCTGGATGGCTATCTTGGTGCTGTAGTCAATATTGACCTGAGTAACATAAAAACGGACAAGTGTAACTGGAAATGGCATATTACATTTGAATATTGCATTATGTCAAACATATTTTTCAAGTGTTACAGTTGGCGTGTTAAATGTTGGAGGCTCAACTCACAAACGGTGATTATAAATTTCCTATACTGTCAGCTAAATCACCCGTCTAATGGGTTTGGTTATGTGACGTTTGCAAGAAGAGAGGAATCAACAGATAGAAAATGCTACCAGGTTGGCCCGCTTCGGACGCAGATATAATGTACAGCGGCGGCCATGTTGGCAGGGGCAACTGTCCCATCAAATGTAATAGGTACACATGGACATTAGCTTAACATTGCCATAGGCATAAAAACTCAGTCGTATCTATAGATTCATAGCTATGCCTGCTTACAGGTGCAAGTTCTTGACTTGTCGTATAGTATGTGTACTTGCTATTTTTCGGTAGCATATAGGTGACAGAAAAAAGAAGCACAAGTACATCGTGGAACGGGCATGCATTATCCCAACCATCCCCAAGCACCAGCGAGGCAATTTGGATACACTTGAAAACTTTTCAAACACTTTTTTTTAAGATATTCATGACAACAATTTTACACTGAAAAAGTTCACCTTGAGCGCTTTGCAGAAAAAAAAGGGAATATTATTCTGAAACTCGTGTTGAGAAATTGCCCATTCCGAAAAGACTCTTTGGTTTCGTTTTTATTGAATTGAGTGATTACCCCCTGCCAAAATGAATGACGGTTGAAATACAAAAGCAAAGTTCAATGTAGAATGCTCAATAGCATGAGCGTAAATATTTCTCTGTCGGCGTTTTCACCACTTTGAAGCACAGTCAGTCGGCACTTTTGTCTCATCTCGACTAAATTGCTCTTAAAATAAAAATGCGGAGAAAAACCCCCAAAACAGAACTGAGGAGAGATACAATAAATCGGGATTTATAATAAACAGTTTTCTTGTCACCTCACCAATAATCGTGTCTGTTATGTATCTGAAAAAGCCTCCTCGCGCAGCCATAGTAAGTAACGCATGTGCATTCATCTCCTACAAAGCATTGATGCAGGCGCATGCAGAAGCTACAAAATATTTAGACTGACAATCATCCTCCTCAGAAAGTGTGTGGGTGCTGCTCTCTTCACATTTGCAGAGAAGAGTCACAGCCACAAACCAACTGCCTGCTCTCATCGGTCAGACGCGGTCAAATTGTCATCCGCGCTGCGAAAGGAAAAAAAAAAAAAATCTTCTAAACCGCAGTTCTCTCTCACTGGCTACTTTTTGCAGGTTGTTGTACTTTGTTGAGATGCCTGCCCAAACTGCTTCTGCTGCGTTCAGAGAGGTCGACTTCTTGACCCGATAATGATTGGGAATTCATCCCCCTCATACTTTTATCACCATGTCATGAATATTCTGAGCCTCCAACAGCACTCGGTGACAGGCCAAAAGATAAACATTCTTTTCCAGCAGCAAAGTAATCTGAAATACCTCTTTAGGCGCATCCGACTCAATAAAAACTGTATAAATATGTTTGGCCTTGGACAGCAGTTTTTTCTCGGAGTCATAGGTCTTGAATTCTTCACACGCCAGCCAGAACTCTATGTTTTCCTCGCTGAACTCCGTGCGGAGGAACTGAGAGAAAGTTGCCACCCCATCTGATATGGAGACATGAATACGGACACACAGCTCGTTACTCGAGAAACTTGAAAAGTAAGACGATATCTGAGATCTGTCTGCATGGGCTGGGTCATTGAGGAAAAGGATGTGTGAATGAGGAATTGACTTTCCATCACTTCTTTATTTAAAGGGCTAGTAATTTGTGCTTTAATGCAGCGGTCCGCAATCTTTTTTGCCCCACGGACCGGTTTAATGTCAGACAATATTTTCCTTAAAGGTGTGACGGATAAATAGAATTAAATAATATGATATGACATGCATGAAAACTGTGGTATTTTCGTAACATCATAATAAACACGAGTCATGACACGAGGAACGTCCTATCTTACCACCCGGCGCTCTCTGGTCGCTATGGTAACGTTTAAACGTGCCTTCAAAATAAGATACATCGCCAATACAAACTGCATGAAAAATTAGACTCACCATCGCCGCATATTATGCGGAGTGGGCTTGGTGCGTGGGAATCTCCCGTTGACATAAATCCGTATTTTAAGTAGGACCCCGGATATTGTCTATTAAATATAGCCTTTTTTTCTTGAACGTCGTAGGCTTCTCTTCTGTCTCCTGGTTGGGCCTTTTCCCCCCACCCAAAACGTTTGTTTTTTTAACTCATTTTGCTAGCTTTTGGGTTTCATTTTAGCGGTAACCTATCATGTGACCGAGAAGCGCGCCTTGACCTGCGTCAAGAGTGACATACTGTAGACGGATGTAACAGAGAATCCGGTATTTTTTCAAAATAAAACATCTTTCAGATTCCGAAATAAATAAAACGGAAGTAATAGAAGTTACTTTCTCTTTCTGTGCGTCCTGTACCAGTCCGTGGCCCGGAAGCTGGGGACCACTGCTTTAATATACACAAACAATTATATAACCCAGCAGAGGTTCTCAGAAAATTAGGTCCAGCAAAATGTTATGAATATGAATATTTTTTTTCCTTTACAATGACTCGCCAGATGTCTCCGCAAACATACTGCGGAGATAAAATAATCACCCATATTATTGAGATCTGAGCTGTACGGCGGCGGCCATGTTGGCAGGGGCAACTGTCCCATCAAATGTAATAGGTACACATGGACATTAGCTTAACATTGCCATAGGCATAAAAACTCAGTCGTATCTATAGATTCATAGCTATGCCTGCTTACAGGTGCAAGTTCTTGACTTGTCGTATAGTATGTGTACTTGCTATTTTTCGGTAGCATATAGGTGACAGAAAAAAGAAGCACAAGTACATCGTGGAACGGGCATGCATTATCCCAACCATCCCCAAGCACCAGCGAGGCAATTTGGATACACTTGAAAACTTTTCAAACACTTTTTTTTAAGATATTCATGACAACAATTTTACACTGAAAAAGTTCACCTTGAGCGCTTTGCAGAAAAAAAAGGGAATATTATTCTGAAACTCGTGTTGAGAAATTGCCCATTCCGAAAAGACTCTTTGGTTTCGTTTTTATTGAATTGAGTGATTACCCCCTGCCAAAATGAATGACGGTTGAAATACAAAAGCAAAGTTCAATGTAGAATGCTCAATAGCATGAGCGTAAATATTTCTCTGTCGGCGTTTTCACCACTTTGAAGCACAGTCAGTCGGCACTTTTGTCTCATCTCGACTAAATTGCTCTTAAAATAAAAATGCGGAGAAAAACCCCCAAAACAGAACTGAGGAGAGATACAATAAATCGGGATTTATAATAAACAGTTTTCTTGTCACCTCACCAATAATCGTGTCTGTTATGTATCTGAAAAAGCCTCCTCGCGCAGCCATAGTAAGTAACGCATGTGCATTCATCTCCTACAAAGCATTGATGCAGGCGCATGCAGAAGCTACAAAATATTTAGACTGACAATCATCCTCCTCAGAAAGTGTGTGGGTGCTGCTCTCTTCACATTTGCAGAGAAGAGTCACAGCCACAAACCAACTGCCTGCTCTCATCGGTCAGACGCGGTCAAATTGTCATCCGCGCTGCGAAAGGAAAAAAAAAAAAAATCTTCTAAACCGCAGTTCTCTCTCACTGGCTACTTTTTGCAGGTTGTTGTACTTTGTTGAGATGCCTGCCCAAACTGCTTCTGCTGCGTTCAGAGAGGTCGACTTCTTGACCCGATAATGATTGGGAATTCATCCCCCTCATACTTTTATCACCATGTCATGAATATTCTGAGCCTCCAACAGCACTCGGTGACAGGCCAAAAGATAAACATTCTTTTCCATCAGCAAATTAGCATGAAATACCTCTTTAGGCGCATCCGACTCAATAAAAACTGTATAAATATGTTTGGCCTTGGACAGCAGTTTTTTCTCGGAGTCATAGGTCTTGAATTCTTCACACGCCAGCCAGAACTCTATGTTTTCCTCGCTGAACTCCGTGCGGAGGAACTGAGAGAAAGTTGCCACCCCATCTGATATGGAGACATGAATACGGACACACAGCTCGTTACTCGAGAAACTTGAAAAGTAAGACGATATCTGAGATCTGTCTGCATGGGCTGGGTCATTGAGGAAAAGGATGTGTGAATGAGGAATTGACTTTCCATCACTTCTTTATTTAAAGGGCTAGTAATTTGTGCTTTAATGCAGCGGTCCGCAATCTTTTTTGCCCCACGGACCGGTTTAATGTCAGACAATATTTTCCTTAAAGGTGTGACGGATAAATAGAATTAAATAATATGATATGACATGCATGAAAACTGTGGTATTTTCGTAACATCATAATAAACACGAGTCATGACACGAGGAACGTCCTATCTTACCACCCGGCGCTCTCTGGTCGCTATGGTAACGTTTAAACGTGCCTTCAAAATAAGATACATCGCCAATACAAACTGCATGAAAAATTAGACTCACCATCGCCGCATATTATGCGGAGTGGGCTTGGTGCGTGGGAATCTCCCGTTGACATAAATCCGTATTTTAAGTAGGACCCCGGATATTGTCTATTAAATATAGCCTTTTTTTCTTGAACGTCGTAGGCTTCTCTTCTGTCTCCTGGTTGGGCCTTTTCCCCCCACCCAAAACGTTTGTTTTTTTAACTCATTTTGCTAGCTTTTGGGTTTCATTTTAGCGGTAACCTATCATGTGACCGAGAAGCGCGCCTTGACCTGCGTCAAGAGTGACATACTGTAGACGGATGTAACAGAGAATCCGGTATTTTTTCAAAATAAAACATCTTTCAGATTCCGAAATAAATAAAACGGAAGTAATAGAAGTTATTTTCTCTTTCTGTGCGTCCTGTACCAGTCCGTGGCCCGGAAGCTGGGGACCACTGCTTTAATATACACAAACAATTATATAACCCAGCAGAGGTTCTCAGAAAATTAGGTCCAGCAAAATGTTATGAATATGAATATTTTTTTTCCTTTACAATGACTCGCCAGATGTCTCCGCAAACATACTGCGGAGATAAAATAATCACCCATATTATTGAGATCTGAGCTGTCGCTTGTGTGTAAATGCGCTTTGAGGGGTGAAAAATAGTCGTCTCGACCACTTCCTTTTAGTGACATGCCAACAACGGCTGTGTAATTAAGAGCATTTTAAATCATTGAAAATCATCCGTTTAAAACATCTAATATTACCAATAAACCAGCAGAATTCCAATGCAACACAATACTGTTTAATGCCGCCCATAATGTGACAATACAACTTCAGAAAAAAAATGACGATACGCGTGTTACCTTCTGTGTCCACGAAGTAACCTCAAAAGATTTACTACTCTAAAATACTCCACACTTCGAATGGAACGACTTTAGTAAGTTGAACCGGACGCTGAATTGGTTCACCTCTTCACATTAAAAAAAAAAAAAAAAACCTAAACTCTTTTTGTTCATTCTACGACAACAGAGTAAGTTACATGTCAAGCATGGTGTCCAGTTTTTTGGGTAACGTGCGTGCAATAAAATAGATCAACGTCTTGGTTCACACTAGCTGCATTCACGTGTATTCTTGCACATGAGTCAGCAGGATTTAAAAAGGCGCACAGTTCAGCTGCAGACATTTCATATTTAGCGAGGCGAACAGTTAATAAAGGCGTGGTGTCCCTCAAATGTATCAACGGGTCACCTGAGAGCCACTGTTCACCATTCAGAAGTAATTTTCTATGTATGATTGGTTAATGTTTTTTTTTTCTCAAATGGATATCTTGGTATGAAAGTAGTGAAGCTGTTCAAGTGTAAAAATAATGAATTTAAAAGTCTTTTTTTTTCTTCTCGAGTGTGAAGTGCTTGCTGTTCAATATGAATCAATGGAGTACCACAATATTCAACAATCCCTTGCGAACAGAAGGCGAAGTGAACTCTCTTTATTTATTCATAGCACACTGCAGGAAGGTTTGATTTAAAGCATCTATTATTTTGACCAGCTTTTGAACAAGTTCATTTTTGGACTCTCATGTCACACTCTTGGACCCTATTTTCTGAGAACCACGTTGTGCAAAGGGGGAATTTTGTTATGAGGAAGTTGCAAACATTAAAGCATGCATCGCAACTAATAATGTTCTTATTGTTGAATAAGTCAAACTTTGCATCGGGGGGCGCAACTCTGACCTGCATTCTTCATCAATTCTTCAAATGAGTTGCTCCATTGCAGAGCCGTCTCTGCTGAGATGCTGAGAAAAGATGAGGAAGCAGTCGATGAAGTGACTCGGCAGCAAAGTTTTAGCGTCATGTGTCTTTTTGCAGGTGACAACTGAGGTCAAATATGATCAATGCTTCTCTAAATATTAGCGTTACGCGAAGTCATTGGAATTAGCCTCACTTGCTGGATGTTGTCTTGGTCTGGTGACTGACATTGTCATGGGAGCCGGACCTGGTGAGACTTGGTCGGCTCGTCCTCTCCTTGTCTTGCTGTCTGCATGCAAAAAAAAAAAAAAAAAAAGTATGCATTTCCCCAAAGACCAAAATCAGAAAGACTCCTCGCTTACATGTTTCCACGCGTTTTACATGACTGCGCAATAAATTACATTTTCGTGTGGATCAACAAAGCTTTCAGAAACGAGTCATACGTGCACATCGCTTAACTTGCAAAAAGGGATTCATGCCGCAGCTTTATGAGACACACACACCCACTCAACACGGCGATATTGACAGCCGTCAAGACTTTCGATCACATTCAAGCATTTGAACAGGTCGGTTATTATGATAATATGCACAAAATAAAGTGTCTCTGTTTGAAGAGATGATTGCTGAACCATAAAGAGATTCTGACAATAGCCACTGCATTTCTAGAATAGTTTTAGAGTCGTACACGAACCTGCTGCTATCGGCCTTCATGGTTGGTTCTTGCCCGTGTTGTGGATCAAGCCTTTTGAAATATGCTTCCTCCTTCTGGGCCATGAAGTTAAATTGAGGAAATAAGAAAAGAAGCGTTTCCATGCTGTCCCGTCTGCATCTGTTGTGTGAGGCGGCGGGTCATAAATAGCTCGGCAAAAAACGTTGAACCCCGTCACCATCGTTCTGTAAACCACGTTTGCATTTCATTTCCCATATACACCTGTGGTGAGACTTCCTGTCACCCCTGACTGCTGACAGCTCTCATCACGTTAGAGAAACCCCCCTCGGGTTCAACATCCTGTTAACACAACGGCAAATTGTATTTTCAAGTCATTTATGCCTGTGCAGTGTTTTGTTTAAAGTGTTTCATTAGCCCCCAAATTCTACTTTTGGACTCTAATGACCAAAATGAGACACTGTGAAGGCGATAGAAATAATATATCTATACCGTATGAAATATACCTGACAATATTTTGCCCCATTCATGTTGCTAACTAAGTGACCATCGTAATCTTGGCAAATTTACAATTTGATCATCTATGGTGCGTAAATTATTAATGCTGTATTTCCATTTTTGGTTAATGGATGAGTGGCTTTATTTCGTATGAAAAGAGTCAGCCGGCCCCCTTTTCTTAAAATTTTCTTTTAGCTTTTAAAGGGAGAACACTCTTACGATATTGTGTTACTGTATTACTGACTCATTCCTTCTTTTTATCTCCACATACCTGCAGGGGGAAATGAGGTGTGAATGTCGTCTTGGCAATAGATTGATTTCAAATTCACTAAGTTGCAGGGTAGAGCCAACCGAGTTTCCATTTATCACGTTGCGTTCTCGAGAGGAATGTTGGGAATATAAAGCCCCAGAGCACAAACATTTGTAGAGACACGGCAAAGTGAAAGTCAGCGACACCTGTGTAACTTCATGCCCAATCAAAATTTCTCTCAAAGTCACATTAAAGCCAACACATTGATTATAAGAGACACATTGTGTGCTGCTAATGTATGCAGCTACAGCCCAATGATCCAATAAAGTGAAAGTGCGGTATTCTTTCCCTTCAGGTAAACAATGGACAGCTGAATCACTAAAACCAAATTGAAGAGCAGTCATTTAGTTTAGCTGTATGTATTTGCCTGCTGTCAACATACCAGATGAGAGAAGCAACAAAATCAATACGCAGAGCACTGCCCCGAAGGTGCTCCCGCCAGCTGGGTGCAAAAGATTAGGGATGCTCTATTTTATCATTCTGAAATAATATTCCCATTTGCACTTTTAATTCCGTAACTATTTCACCAACACTGTTCTTTTTGGAGTTGTTCACCCATAAAATGAAACCGGGCAAAGGACAAACAAAGGCAAGTCTGTGCTTATGCCTTAAACACACATTTGTCTCAAAGCAATTTATTGTAATGGAAACGTGATCGTCTCGAATGTCACAGGCTAAACAGGGAGCGTTTCAACAATCAAACCGCCTGATGTGAAGTTCATGTACAGGACATCAAATGAGCATGATCGTAATATAAGAGTTTTTTTTTTTTTTTTTTAAGAGCGACGATGAAACAGAAAGGGGAAGTGACGGAAGTGAAACTGCTGCACTCGCATGGTTGAAGCAGGAAGGTGGAGTGTTGTTACTTCCTGTCTGTTGTGTCCAGTCTGCCTCTTATGAACTGTGGCACTTCTGGTTTTGTCACAGAACAGGACGCAGAAGACTGAACAACAAGAAAAACACATACACTACCAAAAACACGAAAAGACACAACCTGATACTGCAGGAAAATACAGTTATTCATTTTCACTCTGTGAATAAACAAGTAGCGAGCTAGCCAGTTAGCTAGCCGGTTAGCTAGCTAGCTGGCTAGCTAGTTACTTCTAGATTGATAGATACATAGTATTACTAATATCAAAACAAGAAAAACATTTGAAAAAAAATTACTTTGTGTGCATAAACTACTAATTCGTGTGCACAAATAAGTAATTTGTGCACACTAATTACTATATTGTGCACACTAAATTATATTTTGTGTGCATGAACTCTTACTTCGTACGCACGAAACAGTTACAGCATGTACACAAAATAGTTACAGCAAGCACATCAAGTAGCGCTGATCCCTTACTGGATAAGAGGGTAAACAAATCGAGCCCACCTTAACAGACTCGCTTCTTGCCGACCTAATCAGTGCCTTGAAAAACCCACACGTTATTGCATCTGACGTTTTTATTTTATACCAACATGATGTAGTGATATTATGACAAAAAGTTTTCATTTCGTACACATCCACCAGTAACCATGATCCCTCTCAGAGCGTTGCAGTTGCTGAACAATAAAATCGATCCCGGCGTCCAAGTCGTACCTCCGCCGGTAAAGCAAGCTGGCTCTCAACAGACTATTGAAATGTCTCTTGGTGATAATGATTCTTTGCAATGGCAAGCTTTTCATGATGTCCTTGTAACTCATCCCGAGCCTAAAATAAAAGTTGATCACGCTGCCCCTGTCCATTATGTAGCTTTCCTTCGACTTTTCAACTTTGAAAGAAGGTGCGTTCGATTTTCTTGTTCAAGTGACCTGCAAGGAGCCACGGCTACAACGTGCGCACGCTCCAACTACTTTACGCGCACAAACAACTACTTCGTGTGCACTTTCTATTTTGTGCACACCATGTAGTTGTCCATGTGCACAGTAGTAGTTAATGCCTACAAAGTAGTTCCTCATGCCTACATAATAGTTACAGCATGTGAACAAAATTGTTTTTGTTCACATGTCAATTCTGGGGCTCAATAGAAATTGCATCTGTACAAGTCTTTTTTTTGAATTACAGTACAAGTTTCTTTGGGATTGCAGACACAGACAATGTGATGAGGACA